TTTTTTGAGACAGAGTCTCATTCTGTCACCCAGGCTGGAGTGCAGTGGCATGATCTTAGCTCACTGCAACCTCTACCTCCCTGGTTCAAGAGATTCTTCTGCCTCAGCCTCTCTAGTAGCTGGGACTACAGACGTGTGTCACCATGCCTGGCTAATTTTTTTGTGTATTTTTAGTAGAGACAGGGTCTTGCCATGTTGGTCAGGCTGGTCTCGAACTCCTGGTCTCAAGTGATTCACCAGTCTTGGCCTTCTAAAGTGCTGGGATTACAGGCGTGAGCCACCGCCATACCTGTAAAGTAAACACAACCTCCTGTTTACTTTTAACATGACATTTCCCATATTGTATCATACTATCAGAGTATTTATTGATATACCCACTTTACATTAAGCTCTTTGGAGACAGGGACGGAGTGTCTTCCGTTGTGTCTTTTGCCATTGTTTTATTTGTTTAGCTCTAGCTTAAAAAATGCATTGAACATAATGCCTGGTATGTAGCAGATGTTCGAAGATATTTGTTGAAAGAATTACTAAAGCAGAGAATATGTTTATAAAATTTTAGCTATATACATATAATGCAATTTAATTGGAAGCCATTTTGTGCATTCTATATTTTGTCAAGGTATCCCATGTGGATTCATGGTCATCTACTTTATTTAGAATTCATATCTCAGTCATTATTTGCTTTTTTTCTAATATATTTTCTGCCTCCTTCTTACTTTTGTTGCTCTGTTTCTATGGAATATCGACTGGCAACAGTCACTTAGTTGATTTATGTTAATAAATATGCATTGTTAAAATTCAATTCAGTCCTGGGAAATTGGAAATGTTTAAATATCTTTTATATATTTAATGCTATAGTAACCCTGTAGCATATTTCAAATTAAATAAAAGCTACTTTTAAATATAAAGAGGTTGTTTTTGTCAGCTGCTTTATTATCTCCAAACCAGAGCTGTTCATTTTTTATTCTATTTCCAAAGATCAAATATCCCTCCCAACTCAATTTCAAAATATAGTCTTTGTTCAGATTCTCTAGAACAAGAGCAAAGTCATTTCTAGGCACTCATAGTTTTGTTTTATGTTTCTCATTATACACATTGAGATTCCTCTAAATGTGAGTCATTTAAGCAAAACCTTGGGAAACCTCCAGATTCCTTTTTAATTATCTTAAAGTCATCTGAAAATATTTCAGCAAATGCAGGAGAGAATGCCCTCATTAGCAAGATGTTTTCAAATTGAGAAGAGCCTATTATGAACTCAAGATACTCCCTAAAGGTTTTATTAACAGTTCAGGCTTATCCCTTCTATCTGCCTGTTCCTGTCTCACTACAGTAAGCAAAATGTAGGAATTGTACTTTTTTTTAGCTCCTTTTAGCATCCTCCAGATTGGGCTTCCATCCAAGTTCCCACTGCAGTGCACCACTCTGTGAGTTGATGACAGACAAGGTCGAACAGCCCCTGGGGAACCTTCGTGGATGTGTTGACTACCATAAGCATAAATAGATGATATTGCTCTTAAAGCAAGAGGTGCAGAAAGACACGGGGAAGACCCGGGCACCCTTGCCTTCATGTCTGTACAGATTCACAGAGACTTTATGTTTAGGATTCAGTAGCCATGTTAGAAAAGTGCTACCTCAGATCCTATTCAAGTTTAGCTACAGTAACATTAGGACTCCCTTCTGATCATTCGTATTCCCAAGGCAGCTGCAAACTTTTGCCTCTGACATGTATGGGAAAACTGGTCACTTAAAAGGAACTCCTAATGTTTATTAGAAATACTTTTGCTGTAAGTGGCAGAAAACCTGCTCCCGACTGAAGTGAGTAGGACTTTATCTTGCTCATATAACGG